TATATATTCTGGATAAAGTTTTTGTTATTTAATGAAATTAATAAATGTTCCCACTACATTATTTTAAATGTACAGTAAGTACATTTAAATCACAAATGTGTGATCTTGCAGTCGTCATGTTTTACCTTCTTTTTGCTCAGTAAATTTTTTGATCAGAACTCTGGATTGGTGACTTTTTACTTCAGAAAAATTAAACAAATATTTCTAATGAAAATGTACATTGGTGGCTTTTTGTGTTTGATGTAATTCAGCAGTTTTCATTCTTGTTCTTATGTTTMTTTAATGTTTAGTTATTTTTGTTTTATTATATTTGACATCCATTATCCTTAAGATACGATACAGATTTTATTTGTAAAAGCTTAACATTATAGCATTACAGTCACAACCTACTACAGCTGATGATGTGACATTGCTGAAAAGGCATCAGCTTCTTGTCACCCAGAAAAGGAGAAGCAAGTAAAGAAAATGACCGAATGACTGAATGGTACATTATTGTGTCTGTTATATGCAACAACTTTATTTGTACACTGAGAAGACCCTCATGTTCAGGTTAGCAACTGTGGATTTTTACTACAACATAAGTTTTATATACTTATAATATGATCAACCTTTGTTTTATAAAAACAGAATCTTTGACCTTCTTTATGATTTATGACAGCCAAGCACAAACCATCTCACCCTGGTTGACTGTCAGGGCGCAGCAGCGTGTTGATCCGGTTCACAATCCAACTGAAGAGGCGGGCGTAGAGAGCTTTGCCCATGGCGTCCCTCACCTCCACCGCTTTTTCCACCGTGTTGGGCCTGACGATAGTTTCCCCTCGGGCCACAACGCAGTGGGACGTCAGGGCTTCCTGGAGCTCGTCTGAGCGGATACGCAACAGGGACGCCACTGACGGGAGGAAGACACGAAGGACAGGAACCAATTTTAAATCATTCTTTAATCGAATAATAAGAAACTACACATGTAACGTCTCCAAACGTGCAGCAAGGCAACATCGCATCAAATTACCAACCAAAACATGYGATTACATTTTGAAAGGATTTTATAAACCATGTGGTGTGCAATCTAATTATCTCAAAATGTATGTTTGCTAATGATTTTCTGTTTCTACTGATGTATAAATTGCTTTACAACAATGATGAGCTATTTTTATCTCCGCTCCAAATGGAGCTGCTGCAGAGCTGACTTCGAGCACAAAAAGAGGAAAGGGGAGGCGGGAGGAGCAGGAGGAAATCTTGCTGAGCTTTACGTCATCGTGCACCGCCTGCCTCTCGTCTCACCGTTCTCCAGGGCTGAAAGGTTGGTGATGTTGCTCTTGTCTGTTTGGTGYTCTGAGGCAACTGCAGAAAACTCAATGTCGCCGGTATTGAGGATTGCAGCCAGAATACTGTAAACACTTCCTAGCTCCTGCAAAACAAGACAGAATGAAGTTTGGAAAAAAAAGTATGTTTTCAAATGTTTAGAAATGGGTAAGAATTCTGTAATAGTTTCCTAAAATCTTTACAAATTAATTTAAAGAAGACATTTGCTTTTAAGTCCTTTTTCACATTTAAGTCATTCAGTTAGGGTCTATATAAAGTAGAACTGCAATGCTTTGGTCAAAATTTTTTGTTGTAACTCCACAAGCCCCCTTTTTAACCCCTTTTCTGAGGTKTGTCTCAGATCAACTTCTTTTGATTCTCTCTTAAAATCCAAAAGCTTCCAGTGCGGTTCATTATAGTTTTATAGCACAGATACAACTATATAGCATTGCTGGAATTTTTTATTTACAAATTAAATTAAAAAAGTCACCAAGTAAAGACTTGTCCATCCAGCCTTACATGTTGGAGCCAGAGTCCGACCCAGAGAGAGGGGAGAATGAAGACCACCAAACTRTAATTGGTAAGTCCATAGGGTTAGGGCTAATGGCTTTGCATGGTAGGTCTCCCTTAATTTTCAGCTSAAATGATAAATCTGCACCCTCAAAATGAATCTCTTGGTGCAGCGTGATGGTTGACACCCCATATAATCTACAGCAGGATAAGATGTGTCTTCCCCAGCTCTGCCGAGTGATTACAGGATAAGTGGTATTGACGTGCAGAGCCCAAGAGAAGTAGGTACTTTGAGGCTCATTAGCCCTTTACGATGTCAAAAGCCTGCTGCCTACATGTCTCTGCAGCTTTATGACACAAGCTCCAAATATGGCCACAGAAACTGCATGTGCGCCACAGTTGATGCTTATGTTATGTTATGGAAAATGTCCCTGATTATTTTAAGCTACACTGATTTCTATACATGATGTATAATACAGTGAGTGGGCGGGAGTCTGCATGAATGCGGATCAATCCTTCAGCTGTTTGCTCTGTATTCAAAGCAGTAGTTTATACCTCAAGGGTGAAGCCAATAACTTTGAAACACTGCTCCACTGCATCAAACTGCTCTTTGTAGGAGGCGTTGCTCACAATGTCAGGCCCTAATTTGATGGGTTCGTTACACAAATACCTGCGGAACAAAATAGAAAACGCAAAGTTCAGAGCAAGATGTAAAAATTCTGATGTAAACAAAAAGCAGCGCTTAATAGAAAGACTAGTGCCCCCTTCATGCTGGACGATGACTTTGCAACAATGTTTAAAAAAAAAMCAGCCAAACTAAAAGTTTTTGCAGGAACTTTGAGAGGTCTTCAGATGAGTATTAAGAACATAGGCTCCTCATTGCAGAATATGCTTTGGAGAGTGTCGGGCAAACATGAAACTTCTGTATCAAGATCGAGGTTGTTTATCATCATGGTGGCAGCCATGCTGACATAACAATAATGGAGGCCTTTTGCTCAAGGACCTTGTTTGATCAAAAAGAATTTAAAAGCTGGAGTGTCCGTGTGCCCACAACCTGCTGGCAGCTCTCCATATAAGTTATTGCAATGCTTTTGATGCTACTAAGTACATCGTATGCCACCTCTGCTCTTGCTGCAAACATTAGACACTCTTAAAGGGGCAAAATCCTGTAAAATCAACTTTTTTGAGTTTTATTTCATGTTAAAATGTTATACTCTCATACAAAAACATGCCCAAAGCCTTGCTTTGACTCATTCATGCATGTTTTATTGTTTTGTGTATGTTTTATGTGTTTTTTAATCATGAACAGCACTTTGGCCAACGGGGTTGTTTTAAAGCGCTTTACAAATAAAGTTGTATTGTATTGTATTTGAGAAATCCTGCAGCGTTTTTAGGCAGCGATGCTGAGGAGCAAAACGACAGGTGGGGACCAGAAACGCCTTTTGGTACCAGAAACACCCCTGGGACTTATCTTTAAGCCGAACTTCCTCATGGCGGAGCGCCCCCCCCTTCCCACACACCCCGCCCATGACTCCTGCAGGCTCTCGGTGAAAGTGAAAGTGAAACCTAACTGTCTGCTGAGCTCTCAACGTTAGTTCTCACTCATTGAAGCTCTTTTCAGATTAAAAATACCTTTGAGGAAATGTATTTTCAGATGCCAAGTACTGCATCGTGGCAGCAGCACCCCCCCCCCCCGCACCCCGCACCGAAATGGGTGAGACATAAGCGGAAGGTGGTTCTTAAAGAGACAGAGGCCAATTTCAAGGTGTTTAGAAAAGGAAGTGAGATGAGAACATAAGTTTATTTTCTATTTAAACATAAAAACAGCATTTTAATAACACCTAAAGGTGACATAGATGCTTTATTATGGTATAGTATTTAAATACATGCCTGAGAAACACATAATATTGGCCCTTTAAGATGTTCTCACCACGTGACTGCAATGACCAATCTCTATTCTCCAGGAATCAGTGATTATTGCACAACACTCAGTAACCCCCTTTATTTGTGTTTCATAGCAGAAGCCCTTGTTCACATCAGTGTCAGACCTGTTGGATGAGGAGGGAAGAAGGATGAATGTAGTCAGGGTTCTCCTTCACGAAAAGGCTGAAACTGATGGTGGAGGCTTAGACATCGCCAGTGGATATAAGATAGTTCTGCAGATTAGGACAAGGTTATGGAAGCAACCTATAGGGCAGACAGGGACTGGGGTAGTGCCAGGACAGGGTAAGGGGAGCATTTCAGCGKTGTAGTCGGATTGTTGTAGAAACATGGTGATAAAATATAGAGAATGGTAAAGTGCACAGGAGAGCATTTTGAGGGGGTGAAAAGTAGCAACAAAAATCTTGTTGGGTGAGGACCAAGAGTATGAATGCCATGACACCGAGGGAGGTTTTCCAACTTTAGAATGATACAGCCACTTTCCAGTGAGTTGTGTAGAGAATATAGCAGGGGTCATTATCCAGTGTGAAGGGGGCCTACAGTTTTGTCAAACTTACTTTGGTGTTTTGCTGTCAGAGAGCTTGTAGTGGGCAAGTTTCTTCCTGTCAGCCAGACCAGCATAAATGTAGTAAAAGATGTGGAAGTTCTTCTCTCCTCTGTGGAAACACAAACGCAGTTCAGAAATTCAAAATCCTTTAAATCATACACCAATGTTTTATGTTTCCAATACTTTTTCGCCCAACCGGCGAGCAGAAGTATGCATTTACTTACATTTTAAAGCTCGGCCACATGTTTAATAAAAATATAACTGATCATTTCAGGAGAAAAACAGCTAAATGGATTAAAGAAAACAAAATGACACTGCGATGTCTTAACAGGCCTTTTCCGATATTGTGTTAACAGAAATAATTCACACAGACAAACAACCCAAAGTGCCTCCTTCACAGAAACCATGAAATATTCAACATGTAATCCAACACAAGATGTGGACTCASCCTGCTTACCATCCCTCTAATAAGCCGAGCCCAACAACAAGCCAGAGAGAAGTGGCTGCAGACAATGTTTCCTACCAATTTGTCTGACCTGTGGGTCTCTTTCCCAATGAAATACTGTCTTTGAAGTTCCACTTGCTAGAAAACAATCTTTGATCAAACAAGAAATAGGCCTTCCCCTGCACTTGACCTGATCTGATCCCCAGACACCTGATAAGAGGAAAAGACAGAGTGACTGAAGTGCAGACTGAAGCCAAATGTCACCAGTTCCAAATGGATAAATGAAGGTGAAAGAATGAGACAGTCCATTACACGCTGATCTCAGCCGCTGGGTGGAAATATAACCTCTGTGTCCTTGTATGCCGACAAAACAGAGATGCTTTCAGTTTCTATGAATGTTAGAGCAGACAGAGGCTATAGAAGTGAAAAATAAAAACAAAGGAAGTGATATTTACATGGCCTGGTGGATGACTCTGGATTTCTCCAGCAGATACTCAGATATCTGTGCTCCAACCACCGTTCCGCCACAGGTGAACTTCATCTCCAGGTATTTGCCGAAACGGCTGGAGTTGTCGTTGATGACGGTGCAGGCGTTACCGAATGCCTCCACCAGACTGTTGACCAGCAGGATTTTCTCCTGTAGCGTTCGATTGTTGGCCTGAAAAAAAAAACGTAAAGAAACAAGATGCTACCTCAGTGCAGCAGAAATCATGATGCAGCCTTTTTTGCACACACTCACTGTTAGCCGACACTAAATTAAAGCAAATAGAAAAAAACATTTTCCTGTCAGTTAAGCTGCAAATCACGAGTGGCACCAGCTGGAGCGTCAACAGACTCATCACAGGAKAATCAAACTGCCAGAACTGTGCATTTGTAGATTCTGAATCCACTAAATATTCATTYAAAAACTCATTTTTGTGTTTCCGTTAGCCTGAAATGTAACATATAAATGCAAATGTTTTATTTATTTATGAAACACATTATAAAAAGAAGGTGTAGAATTAAATTATACGTAACAAACAACTGAATAATGAGAATAAACTATTTTTAAAATCACTTAAATTCCTTGTTAATCCAATGTTTTTTTTTTATCCAGTAGCATAGTTACTTTTTGCTGAAAATAATATTGCTTAAATAATCAACTGGTCTTTAATCAACAGAAGGCACTTAGATTGATGAAGAACAATGAAAATGACACACTAATGTTGTATCGACAGACTCACCTTTCCAAGTACTGTCAGCTGCTGCACCAACAGATGAGCGCTCTCTGTTTTTCCTGCTCCACTTTCTCCACTGATTACAACACACTGCACACAGGAAGTCACACGGATACAAATATGAGAAAAAAAACATGAGTGTTAATGTCAGGACTCTAAAAATCCAGAAGACTGATAAAGAACAGGTAAAACATGAGTACCTAATATTAATGTAACTAAAGATTCATTCTGGCACCAAATCAATTTAATTGTTTTAAGTTTAAAATAACAAATATTTTAGATTCTTTTTCAACAAATTGAATTAAAGCCATTTTATAACCAAATACGTTTCTTTTATTTTTAACATCAGCATTTTTGTCCTTGTATCAAACTCTAACTTAAAAGAGCTGAAAAAAGCTCATCTTACTGAAACGTATTTGCTTTGTTAGAAAAGCATTCAAACAAACAGAAAATACAAAGCAAAATACTGAAAAATGCAAAAACAGAACATTAAAAAAACAGCATAAGCATGTATTWGATTAGCTGGTTTCCATGGTGATTTGTGAAACGGATGGATTGGATGGCCAAATGGAGGAGTTGGATAATCTGCTGAAGATGTTGAAATGTGCAAATGAAACTGAAGTGCCCTGATTATCATCATGTTAGTCTGTGCCACAGCTCTCCAAAGAAACCTGATGAGAGTCCGACAGACATTATCTACAAGAAATATTTTGTTGAATGTGTTTGAACTGCTTTAAACATAAATTAACTGTTTATAAATAAATGTATATAATAATAATTAATATACATGAATTACATTAAAGTATTAGGGGCAGATTTACAACCACTCTGGTGACTTTCAGTATGAACTCAAAGCGGTAAATTGCAAACTCAAAGATCTTTAAACYTACTGGCCTAAATTTAACCAGGGATTACACATCCTTTGCAAACACAAATTAAAGATTTTGCAAATCTGTTTGATTCCGAAAGCCCCTGCAAAGCAAGAATTGCACTGCAAATTGCGCTGCTGTTGTGTTATAACAAATACATTACCTGATCTGTGTTGTATGAAACCATAGACTGATAGGCAATATCAGCCACTGCGAAGATGTGTGGAGGGTTTGCTGTGCGCTTGGCTCCGATGTACATCTTAGTGTACTATAAAGAGACGGAATTAACAAAAGGCAAAGGGGCGTGTTAAATAAAACAGGTACATAATGCATGTGAAAGGCTCAGTTCCTTTTCAGCTCTTGTAAAATGTAAACATGTGAATCGTGTAAAATATGTATGAAGGTCTGATGTGTCTCCACTGACCTGAGGAGTGTACATTTCCATTTCATGGAAAGGATTGACAGCAACCAGGATGTCCCCAACATAGGTGTAAATCTGACCTCTGCCGTAACGACTCTGGAGCTGGTCTGTGACCGTGTTCTGACAACAAAGAACAGAAACTTCTCTCTACATGACTRTCAGAGTAACATTACGAAAGAAAACTGGAGAAATGACCCCCCCCCCACCCCCCTTAAGTCCTGTCTCGAGTCAAAGCCTGACTTTTGCTTTGTCAATAAATTATTTTCATACACAGGTGATCAATTCTGCTGTCTGCTCACTGCCGTGTTCATCAACAACAGCTTGACAAATGGAGAGAAATATCCGCTGGCAACTGAGGCTGAATGTATCATTCAATACATCAATGCAGCACTCAGATTTGATAAATTGTTTCAGAGAAAGTAAAATAAAACATATTTATTGTAACAATGTGCGTTGATCAATCCAATAAGAATAGATTTGCCAAACAGAAATGTGCTGAGTTTCGAATTATCACCTTATATTTATTATAAACCTGCTGAGTCAGTTTAAGATGGACCTTAGATATTTTTTAGAGGGAACTGTTGAAAATATTTCATTATTTTTTCATGCTTGATATAAGAAAGAAAGGCTTCCCTGTTTTTTGACAAATAAAACAAAATTTTCATACAATATCTCTAAGAGCTTTGACTCATTTAAAGGACGTCCGTTGTGCCACAAGACACTTGACTTAAATTATTTAAATTATTTTAAAACATGTAAAAATAATCAGAAATTGTAATGCAAGTAATATGTTTAGGTTTAAGCCAGTAATTCATGCCATACTTTAATGACCTAAGTTTTCATGACATGCTGTTTATCAGCAGATAGAATGATTCAGAACAAGATTTGCTAACAACAGTCATTCTTAGATATCACTTTTGTTTTTCTTTGTGTTTTCCCTTGACCTACAATGAAATCTTGCTAAGATGACATAATAGTGTTTGTTAAACAGTATGTATGAGGCCTCAACCGCCTCGGTGAAGGAGAAGCAGGAGCAGAGAACAGGGGGACAGTTCAACACCTCTATGTTGTTCTCTGTGTTTCCTGTTGTTGCAATAAAACTCAGCTGATAACTCCATTCCATTTTCTTATAATGTTGATCAGAAGACAAACATTTACTTTATTTAATACTTTTTTTTATAAAATATAATTCATAAAAGTTATGCTTTACCCCCATTTCTATTTACCTCATCCAGAACTTCAAGTGTAGCGAGGTCGTCAACCTCATCGCTGTCGGTTTGTGATTTCATGTGGCTTCCTTTTTTTGTGTGGATACGTTCATGCCTGAGAATCCCAATAATGGTAAAATATTGTATAATTTGCAATTTAAAAACAGAATGCAATGATTTGGAATTTGTTTGAAACTTGCATAATATTGAAAAAAACAACAACATGGACAAATGCATTATTGTTGCATTTTATGTCAATAGCAACAACAAACAGTGCCRATATAATAATTTGTTGCTGAATGTTAGTGCACAAGTCTCTGATAAAAACCTTATTAGACTTTGTGAATTACAATTTTCTGCTTCTGATTTCCTCATTTCACATCTGATTAGCTGCTGGTTAATTTCCTGTCATGATTAAAACTAATTTCTGTTAAAGAAAAACATTATTCTGAAGAATAAGTAGCGACTTTGTCAGAATTTTAGAGCCACTATCCTGTTATTATTGAAGGTGCATCTTCATACATCACATATTATAACTTTATAATCAAAAGGTTTCAATTTTTTTAACAAATAATTTCCTTTAGGAACACATATTGTTTGCTTCCTTGGATGGCAAGTTTTAAACAAAGATGGTGGTATCTACATCTACACCAAATTATAGCTCAGTATTAAGAAAAATGTCTAAATTATACCCATTTTTGTGTTGGGAAGGCTGGTTGAAAATGTTCTAGCAGTTTATGAGACATTTTGCTAACAGACTGACAAGCAAACATGCACATGTACACACAGTTAGTTAAATGACAGCTTGCCTATCATGACATTGTGCAATATTCATGCCCAAAAATTTCAAACAAATAATTTGAACTACTTTGACAATAAAAGGCAGCATGTACTTTCTACATCAACCCACATAGTTGATGGTAAAAATCTGTGCGATCACAACTAAAAGAACTGGTGGCTGAACTAAAATGCTCCTACTGCAGGGGTAGGCCGTCGAGGCCATACACGTACTCATTACCTGTCATTACTGTCTGTACTTCTGTCTGTTTTTCCATGATGGCTTAAATGACAGAAACAGGATTAACATTGTACGGTTGTACAGGCAAAACACAACCTCCAGACCAGAGTACAGTCTACACAACTTCAACAGAGCTCACACAGGATTGAGTTGTTGTTTRCAGGAGTGTAATAGGGCTTATAAAACATCCAGGAAAGAGGGTGATTTGGATTATACTGCCTGCAAGGGCTGAGCAGTGTACTATATATATAAAAAACTAACACAAGGAGGGGGGTTAGACCTTTGTCTTTCATGAAGCTAATCTATCACACACTTTAAGGGGGATAGGGGAGATGCAGAGTTGAACACAATACCTTGTTTTTTCAATCACTCCCATTTGCTGGTTGAGATCAATGAGCTCCATCAATTGTTTCTGCAGGATTTTGTCCCTGCCAACCGTCTGTTTGATGAACACATGCTGGAGCAGGTCTAATACATTTGGTCTCAGCTCAAAGTCTTTAATCAGACATCTGCAATGTAGGAGAGGAGAAACATAGAGGCAGGGGGTGCATGGAGTCGATCATATTTACATTCAAACCATCAGCGCCAATGCTGCTTTTTCCACAGCTGAAGTGACACTTGCAGACACACTCACTTCGAGATAAAGTCATTAAAGTCATCTGACCAAAGCTCCGGCTGGTGGAGAGTGGGCGGACGGTTTCTGTTAAAGGGGGGAGAAAAAATGGAAAATATTAATAGAAAGATAAGATGGGATTTACGGGGGCTGAGAACAAAAGGCACACAGAGGAATGATGGAGTGAAATCCTAACACTGGAACGATTTGTCACCGAGGACGTCCAGGGGCATTTCTTCAGGCCGAATAAGACAATAACAAACCTGTACAGCTGGGTGGGATTGTCACTGATTTCAGATTTCTATGAAAGCTTTTCACACAATGAAAAATAAAAAAGAGAGTGTTTTAGCTTAAAAAGGAAGTCAAATGACTCACTGCTTTAAGTACCTTTTTTACAAGAGGGTTTCTGGCACATGGGGGGAGAAGTCACTGCTGCCTGCTAATGCATCCAGCCTTTCACACAACAACTCTGACAGCAATAAATGACTCTAATGAGAGGACATACATCTCCTGTTTATCACACAACACAGCAAATATAGACAGCAAATGTGCCGGGCGTTTATTTGGAGCCTGTTCAGCTAATGTTGTGACTATTAAAGTGTTTTCTTATCCTGCAGGGTTGTAAAGAGATGACTTGAGAGAAAGAGTCGTGCTACTTAATTACACAGCTGGTTTGGGGTTTTTAACACYTTCAAGAGGCTAGGAGTAATGTGTAWACAGTTACAATTAAATATTGTACACGAGAGTTTACTGATGAGAAATAGGGTTGGGCATAATCGTAACGTGTGCAATTAATCGTCAGAAAAATTTTAATYGATTATTTTTTGGCACTTGACAATTAATACGATTAATGTCACCAGGCAGATTGACTAGATATTTCCCCGGTCAGTCCACTCGGTGCTCCTCTCCGCTTCAAATATAATGAACATAAAAACAATAAATTCTGAAATTTATTTATCTAGCAACAAAATTTAAAATTTGATGTATAGCCTGAATGTATAGCCTGTCTGTAATTTTGACAGTTTGGAACAGATTTTTATGAAGAGCAAATCTTTCCAACTAAATTGGTCATGTGACCAGGACATAAGGGTGTCCAGGGACTTAATCGTCAAATGAATCTTTATCGGCTAAATACCACAATTAATCATGATTAATTTTTTTGCCAATATCGCCCAACCCCAATGAGAAATGGTCATTTTATCTCACTAAAGGGAATTGTGCACAAAATGGAAAGTGGATGTTCCGTTTCTTTCACAAAGAAAAGTTTCACCAAGTAAACAAAAGCATAATTATGAGTTTGACTTCATTATAGGCATACAGTAGCAAAATATTACATCACCTGTTACATTACATAGATTTTCTATAGGGTTAAGGTCAGGCGAGTTTGCTGGCCAATTAAAAACAGGCATACGATGGTCCTTAAACCAGGTACTGGTAGATTTGGCACAGTGTGCAGGTGCCAAGTCCTGTTGGAAAATGAAATCTGAATCTCCATAAAGCTGGTCAGCAGCAGGAAGCATGAAGTGCTCTAAAACTTCCTGGTAGACGGCTGCGTTGACCCTGGACCTCAGAAAACACAATGGACCAACACCAGCAGATGACATGGCACCCCAAACCATCACTGACTGTGGAAACTTTACACTGGACTTCAAGCAACGTGGATTCTGTGCCTCTCTTCTCTTCCTCCAGACTCTGGGAGCTTGATTTCCAAACAAAATGCTAAATTTACTTTMATCAAAGAACATAACTTTGGACCACTCAGCAGCAGTCCAGTCGTGTCTTCAGCCCAGGCAAGATGCTTCTGACGCCGTTTCTTCCAGAGTGGCTTGACTCCAGGACTGCGACAGCTGAAACCCATGTCTTCATCCGTCTGTGTGTGGTGGTTCTTGAAGCTCTGACTCCAGCTTCAGTCCACTCTTTGTGAATCTCCYCCACATTTTTGAATGGGTTTTGTTTCACAATCCTTTCAAAGGTGCTGTTGCTTGTACACTTTTTTCTACCACATCTTTTCCTTCCMTTCRCCTCTCTATTAATGTGCTTGGACACAGAACTCTGTGAACAGCCAGCCTCTTCAGCAGTGACCTYTTGTGTCTTGCCCTCTATTTGCAAGGTGCCAACGGTCGTCTTTTGGACAACTGTCAAGTCAACAGTCTTCCCCATGACTGTGTTGCCTACAGAACTAGACAGGTAGACCACTGAAAGGCCTCTGCAGGTGTTTTTAGTTAATTAGCTGATTAGAATGTGGCACCAGGTGACTTTAACATTGAACGTTTCCACAATATTCTAATTTTCTAAGATATTGAATTTGGGATTTTTATTATCAGTTATAATAATCAAAATTAAAATATATAAACATTTGAAATACATCAGTCTGTGTCTTATGAATGCATATAATATACAAGTTTCACTTTTTGAATAGAAATATTGTAATGGAAAAAATAACTTATCTTCCTTCCTTCCTTGGTGCTAATGACATGAAATTTTCACCAGATGTCGGTAACAACCCAAGTGATCCATACATACAAAGAAATCAAAC